AATCAACAAATAAAGAATAAATACAAGAAATTAATTTGGAGGCACCTACAAAGAATCAACCAAGCAAGCACAGCACTGGGAGGGACACTTCTGAGCACCAGGTTCCAGCCAGAATATTAGGTATGGCCTCATTTTCTTTCTCCCCATCATTTGATTCTGATCTTCTCTTCTCTGGTCTGTCATTTTGACCTCTATCTCAGCCCTTCACTGTGCCCTCCAGAACACTAACTCCACTGTACACATTCATTCAACCTTATGCCTTCTCCCTAAAATGCCCTTCAGCCCCTGTGTCGATGAAGTTTCTGGCTCTTCTCTGAGGGTTCTGCTGCTTGGCAGCCTCTGTTTGTTGGGAAGCTCTTTGTCTTCTGGGGCATCTCAAGCCAGGAAGCAGGAAGAGCTTCCCACAGTCTCCAAACAGCCCCATGCCACTCCAGAACAGTGCCTGCTGTGAAACAGACTTCCTTTCCCCTCCCCACTCACACTGGCATCGTCATTACATCTTACCAATGTTTAGTGTCCACAAAGAGTTCACACCCATCTTCCTCCACCTTTACCAGCCCCACCCAATCCAAGTCATCACTATCTGTCACTAAGCAAACTAAATAACTTTCTAAATAGCCTTGTGCATCGTGTTTAGACATCTACCATTTGTTCTACCTCACCCACCCACAGCTCAGGGACAACTGTGGAACAGGAGGCAGAAGATTGTGAGAGCCAGGGCTGGTCCACGAACACAGGGAAACAGGCTTTCAGGCCACTGGAAGCTTGTTCGTGTGAACTTGCGGCCATGGTGGCACTGAGCACAGGACCCATGCTAAGCCAATCAGACAAGGGCCCAGGTGGAACGAGGGAAATGGGCTGCAGACTGGCCCTGGCCTGGGAACTACTGGAGACTGAGTACTGCTGGGTGAGGGAGAGTAGACCTTCCCTAAGATCTCTAAGTACGCTGACTGGACTCCAGTGGAGGAACTTTCATCAAAGGACATCTGGGCACAAATGCTTGACTGGATAGGACTTAGCATGTATGGCAGAGTGTGTGGGGTCTGGTGTGGGGGGTTGTGGGGCCATGGATGGGGGAGGTGGGTCTACATTTGATTAAGAACTGTTGTATGGAATGTACACAGGCTCAATAAAAATATTTTAAAAATTGAAATCTGATCCTGACTTTGCCTTGTATAAAACGCTTCACTGGTACCACAGTCAGCCCCACTAACACCTGGAACTAACATGTGCTAATAACTGTAATAGT